TGTTCTTAGAGGTCATCATCATCTCTGTTGCCAAGTGTTTGTGGCATTGTCTGCTCAAATCGATAAGACTCTACGAGACCACACCCGACTGTTGCCACTGTAAACACACATCACAGTGGAATCCTAGAGGACAATTCTCTGCTTATCATTCCTCTTTCCGAAGATGCAGATAACAATACCGTCATTTTTGATCAATTCAACCAGATGGGAAAAAGAGGCGAACGTCCTTCACTGATTTTCTGCCAACAACAAAAGGTCTGGTTTGGCCTTGATACAAATGAAGTCAAAATAAATCCAAAACATCACGAGTGAATGAGATTGAAAAAGGTTTACCACAAACCCATATCGCCTTTGATTTTGCATACAAAATTTGGTCGTCTTTGTTTTCCTTCCCCTCCCACAGGACAACCATTCGCCTCGGATCTGTTTTTGTTCCCTTGCTCAACTTTCAACGTGAACTGTTTGTCTCATCCCAGAAGTGACCCTCAATTGGAGGCAAAGCAGACGTTTACCGAGAAATCAGTGTCACTAATATCAGAATGTCACGATCAACTAACCACCGCTGCTCGTCCCTGCATGAGTGCCACGGTCCTTTGTCTGCTATCAAAACGGCAAACTCATAATGAAAGCAATTTGATCACTTCACTGACACGCCAATATATTTGCTAAACTGGTTGTGTCTACCACAGACAGGGTTTAGCGAAACCGCCTCGCTAGCTGATACACCCGGTTTCCGACACGCGGCTTAACATTGTTCCGCAAAGTTGATGAATTCTAATGCTTAATGATCGTGACGGGTAAACAACAGTTCATGGAAAACTTTCACTCCCCCAGACAGTTCTGTTCAACAAAAATACCTGAACGAATAAAGCAAAGTGACGGACTAAATGAGAAGAAACACAAACCGCGAGAGTCATCTCACCCTGTACGGCAGGCACAGACAGAGAATATGCTCGTGGTGTATTTGTTTTTTGCGTGCGCTGGTCGAGATCGGATGAACCATTCGCCCATTTTGCGGGGTTCTTCTCTTCCAGACACGTTACTCCTTACCCCCTATCCCAATGGCTGTTTCATAGCCTCCAATTGTCTGCTGTTTTCAATAATGCTAGCATATTTGCTGCACGTCAAACGAATGGGAAAATATCACTCTTATTATTCATAATGACATCCCTTTAACCCAATAATATGTTCTTTGGAAAAACAGTAATGAAATAAGGGTTGATAACTGACATCGGACGTCGTATTTTTTATCCACGTCCTCATGAAATTGTCACAGATTACTGTGGTCCAAAAAGTGATCCTTTCAGGCTCTAAGTACGGTACGTGGCGTAAGAGGTACATGCTTATCAACTTAGGTAAATTTCTCCGTTGTTACATACACGCAGGCTTTTGTATAGAAATTGTTTCTTACATGTGGGTACATTTCTCTCTCGGACAAGGAACTGCGAAAAGGGAGGTATTGCAGTTCAAGCAGATCACCGGAAAACCATTCAAATCTAACTGATTTTTCCGATGTCAAAAGTGAGTTAATTTAAGGTAACACCAGAAAACAGCGACATCCATATTCCTAAACAGTTGTTTAAACCCCTTTTTCAATTAATCGGTTGCATTCTCCGACAAAAATATCTCATGATATCGGATAGTTCAAATAATTTTCACACATTTTCAGCTATCAAGTGAAACAATACGTGAGCCATGTGGTAGATGGGTAGCTGAACTGAAAACGACTCATTCATCCCCACGTCGTCAAAGATATGTGAATAAAAGTTTGTAATAAAGTTGACCAGGCTCTTTTATGCAACATGAATCTTTGGAAGCTACATTGAGAGACCGCGAAAAATGTTCCTGTTATAGTGGAGCATATATTCTGGCTAAAAGTGAACCACGCTTAGACCGTTATTTTGAATCCGAGTTTCTGACCTTTTGTTCTTTCTGCGGTAAACATCGGACTCGGTTCCNGCTTGGCGAAGGTTAGATAGCGACGTAAATGGCTCTGTCAGCTCTCGGGCAAGCATCATAATAATGACTCAAAAGTTCCCTGCTCCGATTCTATTCCAGACATGATCAGTGGATGTTTGTCAGCATCGTTCCGCTGAAAATATTCTGACACTCGGTTGAAAAAAAATGAAAGATTCGCTCCATATAGCGCACACAAGATACGCCGAAGGAATGTAAAGTCTCCTAATGCTAACCAATCGTGATCTTCCACAGTTTCCGTATCTTCGCCTGAAACGCAGGAAGTCTGATACTAAAGCATCCCCACTTGGACAGAAACATAAAACAGCCAGCAACAGTGTTCCGTACTATCGTGATGCATTCATTTGCGGAAGCAGGAAAGTACGCATACCCTAACTGTAAGATGAATTCGACCTTCAAGCTATGCGCACATTTTCTTCACGGCCAAACTTATGAAGAGTTCCAAACGAAACCATTCTTTTGCTCTGTTTCCCTTCCTCTTGTGTGTGCCTGTATATGTTATCCGTCACGGCTGATCATTTCACATTATCAAGTAAGCTGATTGTATTGTTCTTCCTTCTCGGACACGGACGACTTCACCTCGGGTCTGATGTTTAAGTGGTCTTCTGCAATTTCCGACTGGCTCACCCTTTCTCAATTTCAGTGTGGCCACATTGTTTGTCACATGGCACACATTTCTCGCACAGTCACCGGATTCGAATACTTCAATAAATAACAGTGAAAATCACCGGGGCCTATCTGACCACAATCTATATGTCGATGCACTGCTTGTATTGAGCAGATTATGCTTGGAAGATTGGTTTATCTGTCTGGGGTGCATGTTTTTGTTTCCAAGTGTCCCCAAGCAAGTAGCTTGATCAGATCAAACCAAAGATAATAGCATGATCAAACAGGGTTGAATCGGTCTCTGAATACAACCGGAATATTGTTCCTCCGGTCCACATATACATCAAGTCGGCCGTTATCGAAAATACTCAAAAAATGCCACCGTCTCGCGGGAAACGAATCCGCCGAAGCAAGACAGCCACAAAAGGCATAGCTCATCCTGTGCATCAAGGTTGAGCTGAATACACGTTGACGAATGTCACAGTCCAATTTGCGCACCCGATTATGTATACCAACCGAGCACACACTTGGACACATCCCCATTCATCGTGTTGTGAGGTACTACTCACACTTGTGAGTAGTGTGTTTTGGGGGCCTTGATCGATTGAATTCAGGAGGAGAACGGGCAACCAATCGAGACGGATGCTCAACACCATATAGCACTACTCCTACACTCCTCGAGGCGAACAGATAGGGAAATTGCGAGATGACATTCAGACCAACGTTCTAATCAAAGACATCTCTCGAATTCCTAATGCCCCTTTGTTCTTTCCAATCGGGTTTCCGCCCGATCCCACTGAGAACTGGCGCTTCCCCGAAATCGCACCGATGATGTTGCCTAGCTTGGCTAGGAAACGTCTGCGAACAACACTTCCAGCTCGGAGAACTCACTAACACCAACAGAGTGCGGACAGTTGTTCATCTGTGACACCGAACGATTTGCACCAGATGCACTTTTTCTTGCACGAAATCGGCAAACAAGGTTGTGAACAGTGTTTTGCTGATCCCACCAAATCAATATGACGTGTTTGACTAATTACAGATAGGGAGTTACAAAGGAATGGGAAAACAATCTGAATGTTCGTAATCGCCCCCCCCCACCCTCGCCCACGTTTTTTTTTTAATTATTCTCACTTATTATGTTATGTTGGCGCGACTATGAAACAAAGAAATTCAGCTTGTTTGCCAATTTGTGTTCTCATCCGACAAAGTCTTGTTTCCCGGTTAGGGGTCCGACTGGAAGTGGTACAAGTGGCGAATTGATACAAAATCTAGGGAGGATAGGCCACCATTTAGCATCTTTCTATGTCAAATGGTTAAGTACCAAATGCTAGACTACTAAACATTTGTCCCGGGTATTTAGACCCCAAACGGATCAGTCCACTAGGCTTTAATGACTATAAAATAAGCAAATGAAATCATAATTTGATATTATTCTACTCATTTTTTTCGTCAGTTACACCGTACATGATATATTCCTAATCGCATCACGTGTATGGTCTCTCACTGTGACCCCAGTGGTAACAGATGGATGCAAATAACCTGAGTAGGAAACATGATTATGCAGCTGGCACACAGATATATCACCCTGGATTAGTACTTCCTATCCAGGATACGAAGGTGTGTGCGTTTATGCAAATTGGTGAAACTACTTCGAGAGTTTGACTTTCCCGTACAAATGATCGGATAACATTCTGGACTGGATTTGGTCACGTGAGTATTGTCGACTGATGCTGGAACGAACAAAATACTTCAAATGAATCCGGACCACACTCGGTTGTTTCGGTCGGATACAGAGAGCGGCACAGAGAAACAACGAAAAGCAGGGGGGGAACAGAAAGGCGTCTAAGGGCATTCAGATGTATTTTCTATTCCACTCTGATGACAAATGAACAAACTGGTCGGATAAGAAAACAGGATAAAGCATAGTTGAACAACGACAACCAAAAAAAGCCGCACAGGAAGAAAATAAAAATAAAGGATGCATCCAATGCGCGTGGGATAATAAAAAAAAAGAAACACACGCCAGATGGAAACATTCAGTAAATCACAATGTGCACGGAAAGTAGGTTCTGGTTGGTGGAATGACGTCATAATTCGGAATGCGTTTGTTATCCTGTCCCTGACACACACACACACACACACCCGGAAAAAAAAACAAATCCTGGAATTCTGGATACCAGTAAATTCGATCATCCTCCATGTGTATGCATCTGGACAAGTGAGCCAGCGAGCGAGCGACCGAGCGGGGTCAATAAGAGTGCATCGTTGTGAAATAAGGGATATACAATTGGCAATGTGCACGTTAGACTTCATATTTTCACACAACGGCGAAAGTTGCGTATAAGGACTAGTTGATTGAAAGTGACAAATTGCTTTGAAATGTGTATGCAACCGTCTTGTCGTGAATGGGCAGTCTATTCACATCGTAGATTCGTGCCCGTCTTGAATCCGGTAGAACCAAAATGTTTGGTGTAACAATCTGTCAAAATGTTATCGAAAAAAAGATGCATAAATCGTTCAGTAATGGAACAAGTAAATTCCCACCAATAATTTACTACTGAAGTAAAAGGATAAAATGGAATTCGTCATCTGGGACATGCAAAGCTCATTTGTATTATTATTATTATTATTATTATTATTATTAATATTATTGATAGGATTCACTTGATTAATGGAATTGTAATGGGGTGATCTACTACTTGGCTACGAGAATCGTTATGCCTGACCTAAGACGGCGAATCCCTAGGGGTCTAGAACAGGCTAATTGTTGTATCAAACCTGTAAACAGTTCTGTTTCTGAACACTATTAACGGAGCTTTAAGAGCAAATCAATGCAAATTTCCTTACTGTATGTAGATCACGGTACACTAAAGTTGGGCTCACCTTAGCGTGATGAAAATTGATGGTGACCTCGACTTATTTCAACCTAAACGGGACAAGCACCGGGTGATGGATATCGCTATCGCATGATTGCATATTGTGTGTGTGCGCGCGTTTAGTGTATACCATCGACTGATTACAACTGTTTAGGTACATGTTCCCTTGCCCATGTCTCAAAACGTACGCACGTCGTTCTAGTATATCTCATAGAACGTAACGGTAGGAAAATGGTCACTATGACTGTAGGAAGATTCTTTCAGGTTTTCATGATTTTTCGCACGGATATGGGCAATGGACACTGGAGCAAAAAAAGCTTGACAGCATCGTAAGTGGGCCTGGTGTTGGTATGTCATTCCTGGCAGGGGAAGCCTAACCATACCCTGAGAGTTCTCACGGTTGCCATTTGAAATGGATTGGGATCAACAGCCATCGTTGAAACATGTCTGCGTCTTCTCGAGGGTCCTGAAAGCGAAATCCTGCATTCTCTCCATTGGCGCCTTCGTAAACCCAATTTTGACAAACGACTAGATTGTGATCAACCCCATATATGCCGCACGTTTCTCCTTTTTTCAATCCACGTTTCATTGGCACTACCAATAAGAACTTTCCTTGTCTGTAACCGTCTTCTAATTGGGATCGTTGGGACTCGCATCACGGGACACAACAATACCTTTTATATCTTGAACCTGAGTTGCCCTGTTTGAAGGCCTAAGGAGACTTGACTGTGATGCTTGGTGAGGTCTCATGAGTATCCAACAGGAGTGGTATCTTCTATGCGATAGACAATAGCATCCTTGGAGCTGTCTCCACCTCTTTGGTCATCAGTAAACGCCCAGCTCTCGTTCGTGGCTCCGAGAGGTCGAAACTTCCATCAGCCCCCACAGACCGGAAGATCGTTCGACCGACGAGTTAAACCCCATCAAGGATAACCAAGGCCTCAAACTCCTCAGTGAGGTTTCATCAAGCATACTCCTAACTGGGCCTATCCGAAACTACTGCGTAACTTAATTACCATCAAGGAGATTTATTTCAGTCAATGATGAACTACTTATTTAAAAAAATAAATAACGGCCCTGTGTATCGAGCTTACCGAGGTTACACGCATCGAACTCACAAAACCTAACACGGAATCATCATAGTGATTCTTCGAGATTGGCTTGTCTGACTCAGAATGAACCTTACGTTGCTCAATCTGCAAATATAAGAATGACTTCACATCATCAAGCACTGATGACGTCACCCCGGCTGGGGATGAAACGTTTGCAAAGAAAGTGCCAAGCTCGGCGGACAGGCGAAATGGAATAAAGATTCATATGGTATAACTGAAGTCTAGCTTTCTGTTAAGTTCAGATTTACTTATTCGTCATGGTCACCAAACAACAGACTGGAAAACCTAAGGAGAAAATGATGTGACTTACTTTGACAGAAAATCTCTCGCTTATGATCACACGCTGTGCCACGATCTAGCAGTCGTCGACAACTGGCACATTTGAAACAGAGGCGATGAAACACCTTTCCAACAGCTTCCACCCGTTCGTTGGCATACACCACATCTGGACAGTTAGCACATGGCACACCGCCCAAATTCGGTCCAATCCATCGAGGTTTGGAGGGACGATAGGTCTGACCAACTGGATCGTCCCAAATACTTGCGGTCGGTGGTTCACGTCCGTTCGGGGGGCTTACAGGGAGATCGGAGTGACCGTTTGTGTACGGTTCATTCCACGACGGGGAACCGTTTACCAGAGACGAACGTGAACGCATGCTCGGAGGGGCTAAACTGAAAAGAAACATATTTGATGATGATGATGAGAGGGGAATGGTGAATTGCAATAGCTTCCCTCTAGCGGGAAACCAGAGCCAAGCGAATCAAGATAAATCTAATTTAATAGAATAGTTGATGGTTATGAATCAGTTCTTGTGTGTGTGTTGCTATTTCACTCCAAACTGTGGCGTCTGAACGATACGTGAGATTTGTAAAGCCGTCTCAGTGTATCTTAGATGGATGTGATCGATGGTGAGTATTCGCCACATAATTGTAATTGGTTGTGCGTAGGCCACATAAATTGCCAAGGGGCTCAAGTTAACAGATAACAAAGCTTACAGAACGAGCTTGTTTCCCCTGGACTTATCATCTGATGGCCAAGATGTCTCATTATATGTGTACTGTGCACCCGGTTTGCCGAAAGATAAAAATTAAGATCGAAATGTGAATTATTTTGAGTCCCACAACCGAGGTGTGATTGAACTTCCAATTAGGGCATTGTTTAGACCACATTGTCCGTACATATAGAACGGATTCGTGAACACCGGAACGATTAAGTCACTCACTAGTGCAGTGGTTTCACACCTAGCTGAAACCAATCACACT